TGATAAAGCTCTGCCAGAGCAGTCTGGCATCTAGCAACAATTTGTTTGTTGTCCTGCAAAAATACAGAGTGCCTTGCCATATGGTATTAGCAACTTTCTGGTAACATTTAAGAAATACATTGGCTTGGGAAGCAGTTATCACACCAGAAATAATCCTCCGTTTCTGAGGCAGGTCTAGCCACGTAAACTGGTACCAGCATGATGGGGCTGCCATGCTCCAGCCACCTCAAGTGGCCGGGGCTCCCTGTCTTCTAGGGAGAAGCGTTTGCCCCAGTATTCGTATTAAGATCAAGTCATTCAAAAGCCTTTTTTTCCTTTGAAATAAGACATATATATTATAATGATTTTCTGAAAGTGTTTACACATGTCCTCACTGAGGGCATTTTAAAGAAATCTAAAAGTGACATAGCGACATACGGATTTGGTGGGAAAACACATATTTTAGAGTATTATGTGCTCTTCAGCTTGAAGTTTGAGGAGCTGAACTGATGCAAATGAGACAAGATTTCTGGGGACACGACTTTACTCCTTCCACCCCTTGTGGGCACGAAATATATTCCTGTCCTTCYCAGGCTCTGTTCCTAAAAGGGAGGCAAAATCCAGAGTAAGGAGCCCTGCTTACACACCTGCTCATGAGTCCCACTGGGCTAAATCCCAAGGGTTTTGTCAAGGGATGCACGACAAAGGCAAATATGAATGCAGTGAATCTATATTAGCGGGATCCTTGCTCACGTTTGATTTCAGATCTGACATGCAGTGCACTTTTTATTTTAAATCAGACAGTTGTGTCTAATTTACAGTGAAGCAAGCCAAAATCAAATCAAATAGAGGGATCCAAGCTTGGCCATAGCAGTGACCTTGGAAAAGTAACTGGCTTTCCTCATACTTCACAAGTTCAAYCTCCACTGTCCTTTATGAGAATAACCTGGCAGGGGATGACACCTGGAACCGACACACAGCTTATCAAACTCTGCTCCTGTTTCTGGATAGTCAAAGTCTACCTCAGAATGAGAAATCACCCCAGCTCCTGGGGGTGGGAGTTTGCTAAAGATTCACAGAATCAAGATTGCAGCCACACTGTGTGGAACAGCATCACACGGGACCACAGCACAACCCAAATGACAGGCACCACATTGTCCAAACTGCTCCACACCAAGAGCCCTGACCCCAWGGAGAAGAAAGCTCCATCACCGAGCACCTGCTTCTCCCTCCAGGAAGGGATCCCGAAGTGTTCTGTGTTTACTGCAAGGAGGAGCTGTATTCAAAATGAAAGGAATAACGGGCAGGAGACAAYGTTACCTATGGATCTGACAAGGCACAGTCCAGATAAGGTCAACCAGCAGTGGAACTGCTTCTGAAGCAATTTCAGAAAGTAAATTAGAAGTATGCTTAGTTCCTTCCCCATTCATCTCAAGTCTTTTGCATTCCCACCAATCAATCTTTCAGAAGAAACTACCAGCGACCTGGGGCCTTCTAAGCATGCATGTTACATGAGGCAGACGGGGAATCCGATCATGAGACGCCCTTCCCTATAGGAAGTCTTTAAGTCTAAGTCTTCAAACAGATCAATGACTTCTCRCAAACCCTCTCCTGGTGAGAGGGACAGGAGAGGGGCAAGGAAAGGGAAAGGAAACCTCTGCAACGTCCTGCTCCTCTAGATAGCRCAAATTTCCTGTAAGGGCAGGTGCCACCAGAGCAGTTAGAGGTGGCCAAGCTAATTAACAGCCACCTGCTCCCATCCCTGCCTGCTCTTCCCCACTGCAGAGGCTTAAAAGACTTCTCCTTGGCAGCCTTTTGCAAAGGTGCAGGCCCTGCCTTATTGGCATCATTATCTCAACGCATGAGATGAGAGAGGCAGAGAGAAAAGCCACCAAAGGACCCCCAGGAGAACCGCAGTCAGAAATGCAGAGCTCCTCCAAAGACACCAGTATCTCCTGACCTCCCCTAACATTAAATTATTGCAAATATTCAGAGTCCCTGTGTTCTATATGAAAAGTCACATCACGTCCTTTGCCATCAACACTCTCGCATGTCTACACATAAGAAACTACAGATTGAGGAGGTAGATTGGGAGAGCACGTGTGAGCACCAGGTGAAGCATATCTGAAAATGSTCCTGTTCAATATGGAAATCACACTATTAGGAGGAATTACTAGCATGAAATAGCTTAAGAGATGGTGTAGGAGCACTAACGACCTAGAACAAAAGTGTTTTCACATGAAACGGAAGAGAGGGCTGAGTCCTCATCTCCCCAGTGTTGACAGAAAGTCTGAGTTTAATAAACAGTAATTAAAAAAAACAAGGTTTTTCAACAAAAATGTCTACTATCCCTCTTTTGAATTTTCATATTTCTTATGAAATAAAACTTCACCATAAAGGCCACTGGTCCATAGAAAAGGCTGGTCCAAAATCGGAAGAGTCAGGACATACAAAACAGAGACACCAAAAAGCCAGAGGCAAAAAAAAAAAAAAAAAGAACAGTCAGAAGAGGAAAATAAATAAATAAATGGAGATCTTCCTTGCACCTTCTTTAACACAATACCAAAAAACACCAGCACAGCACAGGCTCCTGAGAAAGCTCTATAGATGGCTGCAACTCAGAAAAGCTGGCACAGCTGCTCTCAAACATTAAGAAAAAATAAAATAAGCAGAACAAAACAAAATCCCCAAAGGCTGCTCTTGTGAACCATATGGATTGGTGCATTTGCTTGTAACTCAGCTAGCTCCAAGGTGGGGACGGAGCCCAGTTTTTGGAGCAGTCACAGTCATCAGATGTTCCAGTCGAGAGCAACAACAACCTGCTCGGGTCCGTAATACCCTTTGTAGGTGATTATGGGAAATAAATTTTTTTTTTTTTTAAAAAAAGCACTAAATTTAAAGCAGGTTTTTCAGCTGGGGGGGATCCAAAAAACGCTGACTGAGGAGGAGAACAAAGCCAGATGGCACATGCCGGTATTGTTGGGGATTATGCAGTGTAAGGCAATAGGAAATGAGCAGAGAAAAAGAACCACTTTCGTCCCATGGCTCCTCTGTTGCCAAATGAACATACCGGGGCAACCGTGAAACAGTCGGTTTATGGGTTGCWTTCCCCTCCACCCCCAAACTGAACTTCGATATTTGTATAAGCCCAGGCGTAACTTTTATCTAATGTTTTCCTTGGGGTTTACTAGCTGTTTAGAGCATGCAGCCCAAAAAGCATTCCCCTCGAACGCTTGCCACAAAGAAAAAAAAAAGTTGAAATTCTGATACTAATTAAAACCACACTCTTTGGTATCAAGAAGACATGCTATTATTTTCTTTCTTGCTCATGAGAAGCTGTTAATACGGGCAACGCGTCTGGAACATTTTCCTTCCAAGCGCGGCGCTCAGTACCCCCTCCTGCTCAGGTCGGCTGCTTTATGAACTTGTCAGCAGTCTGGGGTGGGAAGGCTCACGTGGGATATTTACATGGGGGGGGGAAAAAAAAAAGATTTTCTTGTTTTTTTTTTTTTTTAAATAAGAAATAGTTTGCCAACTTTATGTTATAAAAAGCACATTGGGAAAGAAGAAAGAAGAAGAAAACAAAAGCTTTACGCGTCAGGAAGGGTGATGGGCTGAAGGATCGTCCGGCCTTTTCCCGAGTGGGACAAATGACAGGATGGGTCTTGCCAAAAGATGCTGGACATGGTGAAAAGCAGCCCGGAGGAGCGGAGGACACGGCTCGCTGCTGCACACCATTAGTGATCCACCACGCTGGGGCAAGCGCTATTAAGGGAAGCAGTAACGTTTTATGCTCGCTTTATCCCGACTAATTCGGCCGCTGCCGCTGCGCTCTCGTGCTCTCAGCACCTCATAAACATTAACATATTCATCCTCATAACATCGCTAAGAGGAGGGGAGCTGCTATTATCGCATTTCAAGGATGGAAAGCTAAGGCATAAAGCAATCAGGGGCCAGATATTAGACGTGTTGAGAGCAATTTTCAAAGGCATCCATCCGCATCCTGAGCGCTCCGGGTCCAGCGAAAGGGCTCATTTGCTCATCCGAGAGCAAACGACGTCTCCTTCGGAGCAGGTAATAGCAGTGCAGGGCGCAGGGGTTGGCACTGCTCAGGTTTGGCTTTCCCAAACGATTCCCGAATTGCCACAGATGGGAAGCAGCATCCCGAGAGGCCAGTGCTGCACAGAGAGGGCAAACACAGACCAGATCCRAGCACCACCCTCCTTGCAAGGAAGAGCGGTGCGGAAACAGGGATGCTCCACGCTGCGCATCACCCTTGGGACCCCAAAAGCAAGCGGCGCTTGAGCAGCACCGCTGATTTCCACCTTATGCCTTTCTGCCCTCCCTGCTCCCGCTCCGTGGGCTCGAAACACAACTCGGCTTCCCTGTTTCACAGCCGCAGCGCTGCCAGGTTTTCATTCCTGGCGGCGCAACGCGTGGGCAGCGGGGAAGGGGCCTCCTACGGGCGCCTGGCGCTCTTTTAGCTTTGAGCCCCCTCCTGCCCGCTTGCTAAGCCCCTGGCTTCGCCAGCAACACAGAAAAACCCGCCTGAGTTACAAAAACAAGTTAAGGCATAAAAAATATGACTTCAGCAAAGAAGTTAAGCTGCACGGGCGAACATGCTGTAATTTGTTACATGCTTCCATTGTGCGGGGATCCAAAGTAATAAAATACTCCTGTAATGCTAGAACCGTGAGGCCCAGCCCTGGTAAGATGCTCAGATCCCAGTATTAGCTTTGCCACCCTATACCCCGGCTCACCATGAGCACCACGTTGCTACCTCCCTAGCACGTACCACTTTGGGGACCCTCTCTTTTTATATAAATTTTGCCCCAAATGCTGTTACATTTCTCTCAAGGGATGCAGGACTGGCGGGCCGGACCGCCTTGGAAATGCCCCGTGCCCTTGGTCCTGCTTCTCATTTGAGGCTGTCAGGCCAAGCTCGAACACATCATCAGGGACCTGCGGAGGCTGCAAAAGGTAACACTCGGGTTACAAATGGATTAATAGGAAACACTTACCTTCCCCACTAGCTTGCCTTTCCTGTTCATGCACAGGTAGAAGTCCGTCTCTTTCCCTTTGATCCGGACTTGACTGCCAAAAGTGTCTGTTTCCACTAGAAGCTGGGCTTGTAAAGGAAGAAGAAGAAGAAAGAACAGGGTTTACCAGGGTGGTCACGTCAAAGTGGCTGTCTCCCGTGCCATGCCAAGCCTGGAGAAGCAGAGCCCCATGCTCCTCCCCAGCACTGTGTGGTCACAGCCAGAGGGTCTCCTCCGTACCCAGGCTGCAGGTTCCAGCCTTGCAGAGGCACAAGATCAGCCCAAGAACCAATTTCCCTTTTCCCCTGGCCCCAGCCCTTAAACACTTTGTAGGTGCCCCAGGCACGTGCTGGAGGGACAAGCCAGCACCCTGCTCTTCAGGCCTCCTGTAGATCACTGAGATAGCGAGGAGGGTTGGACTAGATGATCTCTTGAGGTCCCTTCCAACCTCAACCACTCTGTGAGTCTGTGTGAAGGGAGAAGCTTGCTGCCAATTAGGCTTTATAATGAGCCCCTGCATTTTAGGAAGCCTTTGCATGTGCAAACCTGTTCCCAGAAGGTCAGTGATTGCTCTGTGGCAAAACCTAGCTCAGCTGAGCCTACAACTCTTGTCCTGCATGGGAGAAATAGGGCCAGTGACATAGGTCCCATCTACAAGGGCCACCACGCTGGTCTGCAGCACTTGCAGGAGCTGTGATGGAGGATGAACTTCTGCAGCTTAACGTGCCACCTGCCCCAGCACGACTTAACCTGCCAAGCTGCCAGCTGAGCGTCACACGCTGCCCGCCATCATCACAAAATCCTGGACACGTCTGAATCCAGCGCCTTCTTCCACCTCTCCCTTCGGAACTGGGATCTAAACGCAAATTCCAATCGTGCCCCAGGTTCAGATTCCACACATCTCCCCAGAGAGGCAGGAACATGTGGAGTGGACGTTTTGGTTCGGATCCACCTCCAGCATGCCGGGGAGATCGTAGACACGGGCGAAACGCGGGGCAGGAATGTGTGAGTGTCAGCAAGTGCAGATCCACGCGCCGGCTCTGGCAAGTCTCACGTTCGTAGGAGCCCACGTTTGTAGCAAACCCCGCGGCTGCCAAACTGCTTCATCGGCGCTGCAGAAAGGCACGTTCTTTTTGGCATTCGTATTTCAAAGTTTAAAACTCTCGAAGAGCAAATACGCTCACCGTAAGGATTTACCCCGCGGATAGAAATAGGAGTTTGTTTCGTTTAAACGCATTAATATTTTTCCCACTTGTAAAGTCAACTTTTGGCTTCTGCGGYAGTGCAAATATCACAGACCTTTAACTTGCAAGTGCCCTAAATGAAGTCTTCCCTTTGCAGCTCAATCACATAKGCAAGCTCAGAGTTTTTCAATTACCAGCTGCTTACGTTTACTTTGATATATCTGTTTTCCTTTATCATCGCAGGGGATATTTAAAGAATAACGCATTTCTGACTGCAAATGGGAAAATGCCTGTGTTCTATCACTATAATGCTTACAAACACACCTAAGTATGTGCATTTATCCCCGTCTTTCAGAAACGCATCCATGGGGTGGGATAGCTGGGATGGAGGCCGCCTCCCACCTGCCCAGGAGGCACTGCAGGGAGGAACAGCTCCATGAACCACAAACAGGGCTTCACAGGAAGGGTGTGAAGTTGAGCAGAGCCACAGCAGGGCAGATGACACTTGGGCTAAGACGGGCGGCCAAAGGGAGGCTGAGCAAGATGGTCAAGCGCTGGTGAACCCACCAGGAGCTCCCAGGAGCTCAAGGAGGCTGCGCAGCTCCACGTGGGAGCTCACAAGAACCAGGCATAGCCCAAGCATGACCACCTTTAGGACAGTGACCCCCCCCCACCACCACATGCAAAGGCTGGTGGACTAATGGTCAACCACAGAGGGAGAGCACAGTAGCTCTACCCAAGGGGTATGTTATGGAGGGCTAGAGACCCCAAAGTTTGGCCCAAGCGCCATGGCCAACTGTAAAAGCTCCAAAGAGCCTCTCCAGGTCTGCTGAGTAATGCAAAGGAATAGGGGGCCACCAACGGGCCTGGCTTGACAGCCTGTAGACAGGACGCAGCCAGCAYCTGCTTGCCCCGGTTGCAGAACCGCGTCTCCACTGCAAGGTGCTCCCCGTCCATCCAAGCCTCAAACGGCGAAAAACAACGTCCAATATCAGACAATACCTCTGGCCGGCCCCACGTTCATAAAACAGAGGACGCTGAAGGGGAGGCCGGCCGCGCCGGGACCGCGTGTACGCGGATCAGCGAGCGYGGAGCGTGCCGGCGGCCCGCGTGAGCAGTATCCAAGCTGATTTTAATTTGAAAAATATCACCTTAAAAAAGATGCCGGCTCCCTGCTGGGAAAATTAAAACCATCTGGATGGAGTGATTTCAAATAATTAATCTAGGTCTCCTTTGACACCGCTGCTAATTAAAATATGATACCTTCCGCCTCCCCCCTCCTTTAAATAAAGAATTTAAATAAAGGTTAAAGATCTAATAAAATAATGTCACAATTTAGAGCTAAGTGGGACTCACCTTCCCCGTGCACGGGCAAAGGTTATGCCTGCAGTTGAATCCCTCCGTGCTCTGCACTACAACCCAGACCAAGCTGCAGCAGATGGACCAACACGCCACAGGCCACCTCCGCCGGTCAAAACCCCATTCCACCCCACCAAAACCCTCCTGCCATGGTGTGGTTGGGAGCCAGGAGCTCATCCCACTGCCTCTGATCCCCATGGCAGGAGCCCAYGGGCTTTGCTCAAGGCCAGGGTCCCACCAAACCACAGGCACCCACCCTGCAAAAGCACAAGTCTCAAGCTTGCTCGACTGCTGGAAATATTCCTATTTTTAGGGCTCCTCATCCTCCTCCTCTCCCAAGAGATCAGTGTGGCTTTGGGATTAGGTTCACCACTCCATAGACTCCCAGCTAAATGCTTCCTAAACAGCCTCAATGGTGAGCTTGGACAACAAGTCCAATACTAGACAGCCAAAATTACCTGGGATGACTCCCAGCCCAGGATCATCCAACGCTGCAACAGGAGTTTTGGTGACACAGATACGTATGAGGTCTTCTATCTGCAAACAAGTTCAGTCAGCACCAGCAGCATCTCAATAAGCACAAATTGGCCTCGGATTGTGTCTTGTTTGACCTCACAGTGAATATATTGCAGCCCCAAAAGAAGTGTGGGGAAAAAAATGAAGCAAATTTTACCCAGTTTCAGAGGAAATAKGTGGGAGCAGGCAGAGCAGTGTCCTCATGGCACTGTGCAGCCAGCTCGCCCCGCCGGACACGCTGCTTTAAACTCCTTTAGTCCCTGGACGCGCTGCAGGGAGATTACGATCTTTATTTTCAAAAGACCTGCACTCTAGGCTCCAGATCAGGTATTATTGTTTAAATTCTTTGACAGCTACATATTCTGATATATTTTCCAGAAAAAAAAAAGAGAAAAGAAAAGGGAAAAGATGTCTTTGGAGGGTAAGATCTTCTGCTACATGCTTTTGCCTTATTGGCCCATTTAACCTAAACCTTCCTGAAAACTCCCACTGGAAGAGACTGGAATTCCTCACATGTCTAGGTGAAAAGGATTACATATATATGTTGAAAAGCTATCTTCCAGCTAAGAAAACATGAAGTCAGGGAGATATGTGAAGGTGGCAGAAAATATGTCAAATTATCTCGCAAATATTTCCTGGGAGTGGGAGGATGGGAGCCAGAAGAGCATAGGAAAAGAAAGGAGAACWAAGGCACCTGAGAAGTCTAAGGTTCACATAGTATCTACCGCAAAATCCTAAAGTCCAGCAAGCTTCAGCTAAATTAAGCAATAGAGGAAAAGCCAATTAAGGTACATAGAAGGACTAGGCACTGAATAAATGTCTCCTAAGCAGAACTGGCCATAAACACAGTGGAGAGCCTTGATCCATCTTGCAGTAGGGATGCTACTGCTGTCCTCAAGAGGAAACAGATGAGACAAAACCCCCAGGTTGAAGGAGTCGATTTGCTAATGACGGTGCTGGAGCCCAACCAAGGTTAGAAAGAAAACTGGAAAGGCTGTGGAAAAGGCTCCCCGAGGGGACCGGGATCCCACCTTTTGTTGCACCACTTGTAATGACAAGCTCATACTATCGCAAAGCCTGGGAAACTATTCGTAGTGCTTGAAACCGTTTCCAGGTAATGCAGAGAAACGAGGCACGGACAAGCTGAGGTTGGGACCGCGGTTCCTGTGATGGGGAGCAGCTTTCCAAAGCATTAAGTCTCCTGTGATGAACTGAGACAGAGCACGTGCCTTGGTCCTCCGAGTACACCGCATCCAACTCACCCCCAAGAGCAAGTGAGAATAAGATTTACCTTCCCCTAAGACTGTATCTTCCAGGGAAAAGCTCGATATACAGACTATATATWTTCTTATGTACATCCATGCTTAAAATACTTGAAACCTGTTCAAACACAGCCTGCCCCATCAAAATAAAAAAGAAAATTTGAATGCTTTACATGACCACAACACAGGACAGAATGACCCTGTCTCCACTTCACATCTATGACATAATGAAGAAGGAATAATGCCAAAATTATGTAAAGTCTGTAGGGTCTAATAAAGCCTGTGGGCTATGAGCAAGCAAGGGAATCTATGCTGCATCTTGAAGTTTTATTTGCACGTCTGCATATTTGTCGAAAGTATATCATGTTTAAAAGCTATAACCCCTACAATCCAATTCCCTCCTCAATTAGGCGCAAACCAGGAGTAAGAGCAGAAATCAAGGCAGCCGGCGCTCAGGAGTGCCGCGCGCTGACCCACATACCATTACAATTAGCTCAGCACGTCTGTCTTTAGTGAGCACGGAATATATATGTTCAATAGTAAAAACGGCACGACCATCGGGAGATTCCTGCTAAGCCCCCTCTCATCCAGGTGCCCTACCAACAGCTCCAGGTACTTGGAGTTTTTAAGCCATCACTTCATACAAGAAGGGGAACTGTCCAGGCTTAAACCAGGGACGCTGCATGGCAAACAGTGCACTAAAATAGCCTTAAATTGGCCTTTTTATAATGCAGTCTAACTGAAGCGCCCTCCTTAACACCAAAAAAA